CCTCCAACGCACTGTCCAATGGGAGACTCTCCACTGACTGCCAAGGATGGATAGGGTGAAGTCTACCAAACCCAGATGAACCCCTAACATGAGCCCAGGCATCACCCCGCTACACCTCCATCACACCATGCAATGGTTGACTCTCCACTGACTGCTAAGGATGGAGAATGTGAAGTCTACAAAACCCAAATAAACCCCTAACATAAGCCTGGGCATCACCCTGTGACATCTCCATCAGACTATCCAATGGACAACTGTTCACTGACCTCTATGGATTTCTCACTGGATGGAATGCTAAAGGCAGAAAAGACTTTCAAGACCATAGAAGGTGCACCAGGGATTCCCAAGGACCTCCTACCTGACAGAAAGCTGTCTCTGAATTTTGGATTTCAAACCAATCTTCTCCACATTCTGGTCCAGCGCTCTAGTAATGGACTATTTTGTTGACCAACACAAAGCAGACAGAGGGTGTAACCCCTCACCACCCCATTCTGAGCTTTAGATACACTTTGATTGCTCATAAGAGCTTATACCAACCAACCAACCAACCAACCAACCAACCAATGTCCCTTCAGAGGTGACAGCGTTGTGTGGATGGGAATATTGAAGACTTGAGGCACCTGAGAAGATCTGAGAACCCCCTGAGGAGGTTCAGGCCATGCAATGTACCTGCAATGTGTCCTTCTTTGTCCGACACTTGACCAGGTAATTTTTGTAGAGGAGGGTTTTGGTTTGCGCCCAGACGCCAACATCTTTCATCTCAGACGTCATTTTACCAAGATCTGTAAAAGAAAAGAACAAGAATGTTAAAGAGACCCTGTCATCAGGATTGCAGGTACAAGCAGAGTGAACACCAGGATAGTACATAATGACTTGCAGCATTTTCCTCTCCACAAATGATTTTTATTCACTTCATTGTTCCTCTGAACTTACTATAGTATTGTACCTCTTCAGAAGAGTCAGTTCCCTAGCAGAGCTCCTCCCCCTTACATGTCGTAGCTCCTCCTATTCTGGGAGTGTCTAATTACTGTCTGTGCTGACACAGCTCCTCCCTCCTTACATGTCATAGCCCCTCCTCTTCTGGGAGTGTCTGATTGCTTTCTGTGCTGGCACAGCTCCTCCCCCTTACATGTCGTAGCCCCTCTTATTCTGGGAGTGTCTAATTACTGTCTGTGCTGGCACAGCTCCTCCCTCCTTACATGTCATAGCCCCTCCTCTTCTGGGCGTGTCTAATTACTGTATGTGCTGGCACAGCTCCTCCCTCTTTACATGTCATAGCCCCTCATCTTCTGGGAGTGTCTAATTATTGTCTGTGCTGGCCCAGCTCTTTCCTCCTTACCCATCATAACCCCTTCTCTTCTGGAAGTGTCAAAGTGCTGTCTGTGCTGGCCCAACTCCTCCCTCCTTATACATCATAGCCCTCTCCTCTTCTGGGAGTGTCCAGTTACTGTCTGTGTTGGCACAGCTCTCCCTCCTTATAAGTCATAGCCTCTCCTCTTCTGAGATTGTCTTAATTACTGTCTGTGCTGGTCCAGCTCCTCCCTCCTTACCTATCATAGCCCCTCCTCTTCTGGGATTGTCTAATTACTGTCTGCACTGGCCTAGCTCCTCCCTCCTTAAACATCATAACCCTGTCCTCTTCTGGGAGTGTCCAATTACTTTCTGTGTTGGGTCAGCTCTCCCTCTTCATAAGTCATAGCCTCTCCTCTTCTGGAAGTGTCTTAATTACTGTCTGTGCTGGCCCAGCTCCTCTGCCCCTCCCCTTACCTCCCTACATAACCTTTTATAAGGAGTGCAGGATAATACTATAGAGTGTAACCTAAGTGACAGCAGCTGGGGCTGCTGACATCACACCCAAGATGGCGGCACCCAGCATCAGTCTCGGGGTTTTTGGATGTCTGCACAAGGGAGAATTTTACAGGTAAATAACAGGAATAAAATATGTTAAATATACATATAACTTTATGGGGCGATGACTGTTGAGATGAATGGTCTGGTGACAGGTTCTCTTTAGGAAAGAATATTTTCTATAAAAATCTGCAGATAAATGCATAAAAACTTGCAGCAGCTTGCATTGTGACCACTAGATGTCCTCAGCCTGATGACCAGCATCATTCATCCCCCTTCCTCTGAGTCCAGATCATCCCAGACCAGCCACCCCCAGCCTGTGACTGGACAGTGAAAGGAGAAGCAGTGCAGTGATGAGCTCCCTTGCTCTGCTCTCTCCTCCTATCAGCATGCTTCTTTTCAACACATCAACAGATTGGCTCTCCAGTTTCTACCAAATACAGAAATATCAGTTTTTAGGTGGAGTGAGCCTTTAATCCATCACCTGAACCTGAAGTGATGATGATGATGATGATGATGATGTATGACAACGGTCCCTTTGCTCGGGCTAAACAGGAGATCAAATCTGCGACTTGCCAGCTGCACCGCATGACGCCAAGTAGCCCTCACTGGGAAGAACAACCGGCCGCTCATAAATCAGATGAAAGATCAGCCTGTAGAAGGAGGAGCGGGAGCCGCCGGCCCCCCGTCTTTCCATTCGGGGGAAGCCCTGAGCGTTTCTTGCACCATCTGTCGCTGGCAGCGGAAACCGCGAGCCGTCTTCCACATCACAATGTTTGCCCACAGCGCCATTCTTACATATTGCCTTTGGAACAAAACAAGAACACAGGAAGGCGGCCAAAACTCCCGGGCCGTATTTCATTTATATTTACCGTACAAGGAGGCGCGTTCCTCTGCGGCACCGCGGGGTTAAAGGGCAACTCCGGCCGGACACATGAATGTGTACAAGGCTCATACATGGGGACCGAGACAAAGATTCGAAAAGCGACCCAACTCTGCGAAGTCCAAAGATGATTCCACTCTCAGCTTCTGGGCCAAAATTTGGTTGTACTGCGCTGCTGACTGAGCGCCATTCTTGTACTGCGCTACTGACTGAGCGCCATTCTTGTACTGCGCTACTGACTGAGCGCCATTCTTGTACTGCGCTACTGACTGAGCGCCATTCTTGTACTGCGCTACTGACTGAGCGCCATTCTTGTACTGCGCTACTGACTGAGCGCCATTCTTGTACTGCACTACTGACTGAGCGCCATTCTTGTACTGCACTACTGACTGAGCGCCATTCTTGTACTGCACTACTGACTGAGCGCCATTCTTGTACTGCACTACTGACTGAGCGCCACTCTTGTACTGCGCTGCTGAATGTACTGACTGAGCGCCACTCTTCCACTGCGCTACTGAATGTACTGACTGAGCGCCACTCTTGTACTGCGCTACTGAATGTACTGACTGAGCGCCATTCTTGTACTGCGCTACTGAATGTACCGACTGAGCGCCACTCTTGTACTGCGCTACTGTATGTACTGACTGAGCGCCACTCTTGTACTGCGCTACTGAATGTACTGACTGAGCGCCATTCTTGTACTGCGCTACTGAATGTACTGAGTGAGCGCCACTCTTGTACTGCGCTACTGAATGTACTGACTGAGCGCCATTCTTGTACCGCGCTACTGAATGTACTGACTGAGCGCCATTCTTGTACTGTGCTACTGAATGTACTGACTGAGCGCCATTCTTGTACCGCGCTACTGAATGTACTGACTGAGCGCCATTCTTGTACTGTGCTACTGAATGTACTGACTGAGCGCCATTCTTGTACTGCGCTACTGAATGTACTGACTGAGCGCCACTCTTGTACTGTGCTACTGAATGTACTGACAGAGAGCCACTCTTGTACTGCGCTACTGAATTTACTGACTGAGCGCCACTCTTGTACCGCGCTACTGAATGTACTGACAGAGAGCCACTCTTGTACTGCGCTACTGAATTTACTGACTGAGCGCCATTCTTGTACCGCGCTACTGAATCTACTGACTGAGCGCCATTCTTGTACTGTGCTACTGAATCTACTGACTGAGCGCCATACTTGTACTGCGCTACTGAATTTACTGACTGAGCGCCATTCTTGTACTGCGCTACTGAATGTACTGACTGAGTGCCACTCTTGTACTGCGCTACTGAATTTACTGACTGAGCGCCATTCTTGTACCGCGCTACTGAATGTACTGACTGAGCGCCATTCTTGTACTGTGCTACTGAATGTACTGACTGAGCGCCATTCTTGTACTGCGCTACTGAATGTACTGACTGACTGAGCGCCACTCTTGTACTGCGCTACTGAATGTACTGACAGAGAGCCACTCTTGTACTGCGCTACTGAATTTACTGACTGAGCGCCACTCTTGTACCGCGCTACTGAATGTACTGACAGAGAGCCACTCTTGTACTGCGCTACTGAATTTACTGACTGAGCGCCATTCTTGTACCGCGCTACTGAATCTACTGACTGAGCGCCATTCTTGTACTGCGCTACTGAATCTACTGACTGAGCGCCATACTTGTACTGCGCTACTGAATTTACTGACTGAGCGCCATTCTTGTACTGCGCAACTGAATGTACTGACTGAGTGCCACTCTTGTACTGCGCTACTGAATTTACTGACTGAGCGCCATTCTTGTACTGCGCTACTGAATGTACTGACTGAGCGCCATTCTTGTACTGCGCTACTGAATGTACTGACTGAGCGCCATTCTTATATTAATGGAGTTAAAACAGATCTCCGGCCAAAAATACCAAGATGAAAACATCCTAAAGCAGCTTTTGTTGCAACATTCGCCTTCAGTCTAGAGATTTCCCCTGCAGTACTCCTCTTCCTTCTCTAGAGGCCCTCAGTCTTATGGCCAGCATCATTTAATCCACTTCCTCTGAGTCCAGGTCCTCCTGGACCTGCCCCCAGCCTGTGACTGGACAGTGAATGGAGAAGCAGCACACTGCTGAGCTCCTCCCTCTGTCATTCTGCTCTCTCCTCCTATCAACTGGCTGATACCAGGTCACATTCCAGTACTTGTATTTAATGATGTATAATGATTACAGAGCTGCATTCATCTATGTATCTGATATCTGCCCAGAATACCCGGAATATTCTTATACAGTATACTCTATATTTCCAAAAGTATTGGCCCCGCCCACCAAATCATGTGATTCAGATGCTCCAATCCCCTCCATGGACACAGGTGTATACAATCAAGCCCCTAGGCATGCAGACTGCTTCTACAAACATTGGTGAAAGAATGGGTCGCTCTCAGGAGCTCAGTGACTCCAAGCGTGGTCCCGTGATAGGTGGCCACCTGGGCAATAAGTCCATCCGTGACATTTGCTGGCTACTAAATATTCCACGCTCAACTGTTAGTGGGATTATAACAAAGTGGAAGCAACTGGGAACAACAGCCACTCAGCCACCAAGTGGTAGGCCACGTCACATGACAGGGCGGGGTCAGCGCATGCTGAAGTGCACAGTGCGCAGAAGTCGCCAAATGTCTGCAGAGTCAATAGCTAAAGACCTCCAAACTTGGTGTGTCCTTCAGATGAGCCCAACAACAGTGCGTAGAGAGCTTCATGGAATGGGTTTCCATGGCCGAGCAGCTGCATCCAAGCCTTCCATCACCAAGTGCAATGCAAAGCATCGGATGGCGTGGCGTAAAGCACGCCGCCACTGGACACTAGAGCAGTGGAGACGTGTTCTCTGGAGTGACCAATCATGCTTCTCTGTCTGGCAATCCAATGGACATGTCTGGGTTTGGCAGTGGCCAGGAGAACGGTACTTGCCTGACTGCATTGTGCCAAGTGTAAAGTTTGGTGGAGGGGGATTATGGTGTGGGGTTGTTTTTCAGGGGTTGGGCTTGGCCCCCTAGTTCCAGTGAAGGGAACTCTTAAGGCGACATTTTGGACAATTTCATGCTCCCAACTTTGTGGGAGGAGTTTGGGGATGGCCCCTTCCTGTTCCAACATGACTGCCCCCCAGTGCACAAAGCAAGGTCCATAAAGACATGGAGGAGCCAGTTTGGGGTGGAGGAACTTGACTGTCCTGCACAGAGTCCTGACCTCAACCCCATAGAACACCTTTGGGATGAATTAGAGCAGAGACTGCGAGCCAGGCCTCCTCCCCCGACATCAGTGCCTGACCTGACAAATGTGCTTCTGGAAGAATGGTCCAACCTTCCCATAGACACCCTCCTAAACCTTGTGGACGGCCTTCCCAGAAGAGTTGAAGCTGTTATAGCTGCAAAGGGCGGGGCCAACTCAATATTGAACCCTACGGACTAAGACTGGGGGCCCATTAAAGGTCATGTGTGTGGAAAGGGCGGGGCCAACTCAATATTGAACCCTACGGACTAAGACTGGGGGGGCATTAAAGGTCATGTGCAGGGAAAGGGCGGGGCCAACTCAATATTGAACCCTACGGACTAAGACTGGGGGCCCATTAAAGGTCATGTGTGTGGAAAGGGCGGGGCCAACTCAATATTGAACCCTACGGACTAAGACTGGGGGGGCATTAAAGGTCATGTGCAGGGAAAGGGCGGGGCCAACTCAATATTGAACCCTACGGACTAAGACTGGGGGGGGCATTAAAGGTCATGTGCGTGGAAAGGGCGGGGCCAACTCAATACTGACCCTTACGGACTAAGACTGGGGGGCCATTAAAGGTCATGTGTGTGGAAAGGGCGGGGCCAACTCAATATTGAACCCTACGGACTAAGACTGGGGGGCCATTAAAGGTCATGTGTGTGGAAAGGGCGGGGCCAACTCAATCTTCCCAGAAGAGTTGAAGCTGTTATAGCTGCAAAGGGCGTGGCCAACTCAATATTGAACCCTACGGACTAAGACTGGGGGGGGCATTAAAGGTCATGTGCGTGGAAAGGCCGGCCCCCGATACTTTTGGCAATAGAATGTATCTCACCCACCCAGCAGTATCAGATGGTGATGCTGAGTTCTCTTTCCTGACTTTCCTTTGTACATTCTCTGGCTGCAAAGTCACAGGACAGGATAGAGTCATCACTAACTGGTATGAAATCGGTCTGAGCCAATCAAAGGGGTCTCAGGTGCGTCCTGCTACCTGGTCTGAACCCAGACGGACGCAGTGACACCGACCTCGGAGGGCAGAGCAGAAAGCAGCATCAATAAGCCCCAAAGTATCCATCTTTCTATCTCCGGAGCCCTGAACTCTGAAATTGGTTTCCTGTTACGGTAATCGTGCCAAAATCCATCTTGCGCAGATCAGGAGGACGATAATGGACTCGACTTTCAGGAACGCAGCCAGACGGATCATTAATTTTCTGTTTTACTGAACTCATCAAAAATCCAACCGGTCCAAGAATGAGCGCTGGCAGGAGGATTCATCTAAAGACATAGCATTGTGAAATCAATAGAAACCCGCCATTATTACTGGGACATAGACTCCGCCTCTTGCGCTGACATCTTTTATGATCAATCATGCAAAGATACGGGAAAAATTAAGTAGAACCCTAAGACTGGCTTGATACATTATAGGAAGGCGTGCTTTGGGGCAACACATGCTACTTGTGTTGGTGCATTTTAGTGCCATTCATTCATTTATTCATTCATTCTGCCATTCAAAATGACACACCAACGCACCTTCATTGGACTAACACTGCAGCTCCACGTGCTGCCGGAAATGGTGCCGGTCCAGTTTCTGGTCCGCTGAGTTTGTTTGTTGGAACCAGGGGCGGACTGACCATTCCGACACTCGGACACTGCCCGAGGGCCCAGGGTCAGTAGGGGGCCACATGGGATGCCCCTGGTACCTTTCATAGGCTGTTCTGGGTGTGGTTTGAGTGTGGGCGAGGACACAGGGGCCCCATGATCTCCTATTGCATGGGGGCCCCATGAGTTGCCAGTCCGCTCCTGGTTGGAACATATGTTTCAAATCTGCTGATACAATTTTGTGCCCTGCTGTAATCATCTTGGAATATTTTGATACACTTTTAAGAATTGCTACATCGGAGGAATCACACAATCCAATGATTCCATGTTATACACACCCTACTGTACCCTAAGGCCCCTTTCACCCGGGCATTCCGTATGTCCGTTTATCATCTGTCCGTTTATGGATGAAGAATGGACCCCCGTGTAATATATGGACTAGCGGATGTAAACGGATGATCATCTGTTTATATATATTAATGTCCGCATCTGTTAACATCCATTTTTTTGAACGAAAGAAAACCCTATTTTTCTTCCATTTAAAAAACCCGTAATGGATGGAAAACGGATGTCAACGATCGAAAAAAGATGTAAGCAGATTAAACGGATGTAAACAGACAAAAAAAATGATGTAAACTGATGAAAAAAGGATGAAAAACTGATGTAAACTGACATAAACTGATGTAAAAATAATGTGAACTGATCTGTTGTTTCTAAAATGTGACTGAAAAGATTAAAAAAATGGAACACCCGTGTGAAAGGGGCCGAAATCCTCCACCTCTAATGAAGGGTAGGGTGTTACCGCCTGTTGGGTGCGTCTGTTTCATGCTGCAGGTAGAGTCCGCTCATCAGCCTACAGGTTCCGCTTGAAAGTCTTGTCAGCTCCCCCATGTGTCCCCCCTTCAAATCACTCCTTCACTGACTACACCAGACTGCAATGGCTGCATAGTAAGCGCTGGATCAAGCAGCTCAGCAATGGCTGCATAGTAAGCGCTGGATCAAGCAGCTCAGCAATGGCTGCATAGTAAGCGCTGGATCAAGCAGCTCAGCAATGGCTGTATAGTAAGCGCTGGATCCAGCAGCTCAGCAATGGCTGTATAGTAAGCGCTGGATCCAGCAGCTCAGCAATGGCTGTATAGTAAGCGCAGGATCAAGCAGCTCAGCAATGGCTGTATAGTAAGCGCTGGATCCAGCAGCTCAGCAATGGCTGTATAGTAAGCGCTGGATCCAGCAGCTCAGCAATGGCTGTATAGTAAGCGCTGGATCAAGCAGCTCAGCAATGGCTGTATAGTAAGCGCTGGATCAAGCAGCTCAGCAATGGCTGTATACTAAGTGCTGGATCAAGCAGCTCAGCAATGGCTGTATACTAAGCGCTGGATCAAGCAGCTCAGCAATGGCTGTATAGTAAGCGCTGGATCCAGCAGCCCAGCAATGGCTGTATAGTAAGCGCTGGATCCAGCAGCTCAGCAATGGCTGTATAGTAAGCGCTGGATCCAGCAGCTCAGCAATGGCTGTATAGTAAGCGCTGGATCCAGCAGCCCAGCAATGGCTGTATAGTAAGCGCTGGATCCAGCAGCCCAGCAATGGCTGTATAGTAAGCGCAGGATCAAGCAGCCCAGCAATGGCTGTATAGTAAGCGCTGGATCCAGCAGCTCAGCAATGGCTGTATAGTAAGCGCTGGATCCAGCAGCCCAGCAATGGCTGTATAGTAAGCGCTGGATCCAGCAGCTCAGCAATGGCTGTATAGTAAGCGCTGGATCCAGCAGCTCAGCAATGGCTGTATAGTAAGCGCTGGATCCAGCAGCTCAGCAATGGCTGTATAGTAAGCGCTGGATCAAGCAGTCCAGCAGTGACACCCACTGACACTGACCCTCACTGACACTAATTAACCCTGACACTAACAGACCCTAACACTGACACTCACTGACATTAACACTGACACTGACACTCATTGACACTGACCCTAACACTGACACTCACTGACATTAACACTGACCCTGACACTAACTGACACTGACCCTAACACTGACACTAACACACTGATCCTGACACTTACACCCGCTGAAACTCACCAACTCTGACACTCACTGACACTAATTTGATCCCAACACTGACACTGATTGACATTGACTCTAACACTGACACTCACTGACACTGACACTATGACATGCACACTGAACGTTTAGCCCCTGTCCCTCAGATTTCAGGATTTTTCAGGGCTCCCCAGCCTCACTGCAGATGCCTCTAAGGTCGCGTTTCCCAGTTTCCTGCATTGCATTCAAGTTGCAGTGCCCTTGCGATCTGCAGTCGGTGTCAGTGCAAAGTTAACGACACCCCAAGTGCGGGTTGCAAACGCAGTGAGTTTGCCCGCAGCAGATTGCATGGTAGACTTACACCGGCTGCAGTGAGTTTCTGCTGCATTCGTTACTTTTGGTGCAATGCGATTTCTGACAATTCAAAATGGAACAGAACTGCGTGTGAAGCGCACAGAAACACACAGAGCCAACCTGTGCGATTCCATTGCAGTTCCTTGTGTGGATGGGGCCTAACCGTCTATGAGAGGCTGAGAGCTACGGCAGCCGGATGGGGCACCACTTGCTGGACTGAGTGGGCACTGA